ACACACACACACACACACACACACACACACACACACACACACACACACACACACACACACACAGAGCTTGTTTACATTTTGACAGTAAATTCTCCAGCCGTTAAAAACAAACCGGAGGTTCTGTTCAGTTCCACCTGCAGTGAGTCATGTCTGTACAGGTACTCAGTCTCACCTGTTCAGGTGCTTCAGGTCTGCTGCTACTGTAACCTGTGTGGTTATGTGCTCTGACACATTTTCTGTCTGCGTGTTTGTTGTGTTGGGTTGTGTTCTGCTTTGGTTGTGTTGTGTGGTGTTTGTGTTGTGTTATGTTGTGTTAGTTGTGTTGTGTTTTGGTTGTGTTGGTTGTGATGTGTTAGTTGTGTTGTGTTAGTTTTGTTGTGGTTGTGTTTTTGTTGTGGTGTGTTGCTGTGTTGTGTTTTGGTTGTGTTGTATTGTGTTATGGTTGTGTTGTGGTGTTATGGTTGTGTTGTGTTTTTGTTGTGTTGTGATTTGATTGTTTTGTGTTGTGTTATGGATGTGTTGTGTTGGGTTGTATTTTGGTTGTGTTGTGTTGGGTTTAGGTTGTGTAGTGTTGTTGTGTTTTGGTTGTGGTGTTGTGTTGTTGTGTTTTTGTTGTGTTGTGTTGTATTGTGTTGTGTTTTGGTTGTGTTGTGTTGTGTTGGGTTTTGGTTGTGTCATGTCATGTTGTTGTTTTGTGGTTGTGTTGTGTGGTGTTGTTGTGTTTTGTGGTGTGTATTGTTGTTGTGTTTTGTTGTGTTGTATTGTGTTGTGTTATGGTTGTGTTGGGTTTTGTTTGTGTCATGTGTTGTGTTTTGGTTGTGCTAGATGTGTTGTGTTGTTGTTTTAGTTGTGTTAGTTGTGTTGTGTTGTTGTTTTGGTTGAGTTGTGTTATGGTTGTGTTGTTGTGGTTGTGTTGTGTGTTGTTGTTGTGTTGTTGTGCTAGTTGTGTTGTGTTTGTGTAGTGTTGTTTTGGTTGTGTTAGTTGTGTTGTGTTGTGTTATGGTTGAGTAGTGGTTGTGTTGTGTTGTTGTGTTGTGTCAGTACCTGCACAGTTCTTGCAGATGACCACACACAGGTTGATGGAGGCCCAGTCTGGGTTCAGGGTCCTGCAGTCGGCACAGGTCCTGTTGGACCGGTTGGACCAGATCTTCTCGGCCACCTCGTAGTCTGACAGGGTCTCAGCGATGGCCTCCTGCAGCGCCTCCATCCAGTCCCGCTTGTCCCGGTCCGACTCGGCGCTGAAACTGAGGGAATCAGGTGAGGCCAGGTGAGAACAGGTGAGACCTGGTGAAGTCACGTGAGGCCAGGTGAGAACAGGTGAGACCAGGTGAGGTCAGGTGAGGTCAGGTGAGACCAGGTGACGTCAGATGATGACAGGTGAGGTCAGGTGAGACCAGGTGAGGTCAGGTGAGGACAGGTGAGGCCAGATGAGACCAGGTGAGGTCAGGTGAGACAAGGTGAGGACAGGTGCGGTCAGGTGAGACCAGATGAGGACAGGTGAGGCCAGGTGAGACCAGGTGAGGTCAGGTGAGACCAGGTGAGGTCAGGTGAGGTCAGGTGTGGCCAGGTGAGACCAGGATGTGACCAGGTGAGGACAGGTGAGACCAGGTGAGGACAGGTGAGGTCAGGTGAGGACAGGTGAGGCCAGGTGAGGACAGGTGAGTTCAGGTGAGAACAGGTGAGGTCAGGTGAGAACAAGTGAGGTCAGGTGAATGCCAGGTGAGACCAAGTGAGGTCAGGTGAGGTCAGGTGAGGACAGGTGAGGTCAGTTGAGTTCAGGTGAGACCAGGTGTGGTCAGGTGAGGTCAGGTGAGAACAGGTGAGGTCAGGTGAGAACAAGTGAGGTCAGGTGAATGCCAGGTGAGACCAAGTGAGGTCAGGTGAG